AACACAGGACAAAATTTCCGTTTTCATTAATCTTATGCTCTGTTCAAGTGTCTAATACAATTAAATGATGATATGCAAAAATTTGAAAGGTTAATCAGAGGAACCCAGAAGAAAGAGCAAGAATTTTACCCAAGATGCTGAGTGAAGGAACAACCCCGCCCCCTGGAGGACTGAACTGGAGTAGCGTTTATCTACAGGGAGGAACAGTTATTTACAAGGTGGGAAGGATTCTCAGCTGAGGGTGGGGCAAGAAAGTGCAGCCTGAGACATGGGGGCTGTCAGGAGAACAACAATGCTCTTGGCACTCTTGCTGTGGAAGAGCTGATAAAGAGTCCAAGCATTGCTGATCAGCCAACGCCAATTCCTCCTGAGGCTGAGGGGGTTCAGAGTCGGAGGCATTTTGGGACATCAACAGCAGAGCCCTGAGTCTAAGATGGCAGGCATAGAAGGGCAGCGGTATTAATTATGGGCAACCATGAGGGGCTGCCCAGGCACCTAGCTTTGTTTTGGGCGTCATCCACCTGTGTGGGGTTGTGTCCCCTGGTCCATCTCACCTCGTGTTCTGGAGGGTGGACACATCTCTATTGATGGAGGACAGCTTGCTCTTCACAATCCAGAGGGTCATCAGGAAGAAAACCAAATTGACCTTCAAGAAAAAACAGAGGAAAGACAGCAGCATGAATCTGACATAATTTTCCTGTGTACATATATGACAGCATCACAGTGAATCCCACCGTCATGTACATTCACGAGAATGGGCCCCTAACTAGATAAGGTATATTCCATGCTTGTGTAATTGTATCAGAATGGATTCTACCTTCACGTATAACTAAAAAGAACCCCCAAAAGAAACCGTAGGAGGTTTATGAATATCTTCTTTTCCCTTTTGCAGTTCTGTGAAGGGAACCCAGACCCTAGTGCATGCCAGGCAAGTTTTCTGCTTTTGAGCTACACCCAAATCCCCCACAGCAAAGTTTTATTGAATAAAATTTTAAATCTCTTTTCTCTCCATTGTAGCCCATGTAGCTTTTAGTATTTGACAATAGTGTTAGAATTTGTAGATGCAGAAGTCTTGGAAAACCCAACCCAACCCGTAACAATCCAGGGATAGTCCTGTTCTTATCACCATCCTTATAATCCTGCTCTTCTAGTGACCCTCATGTGGACAGAAAGGAACTCTGATGACATCTCTCACACAAGAGATGGCACATGCAGGTCCAAGGAAGCCCCACACAAACCCCTGTTCTGGATTGAGCCAGCAGCTGAGCAAGAGAGAGAACAACATCACTTTGCTGTGTTCATGTAGGAATCCACAACCAGAGTCACTCCACACATGCACAACCACAAGGACGGGAAGCCAGACCCCTGTATGTGTGATATGTCACAGTACACTCTACTGCCATGTATATCTAAAAAGAACAAATGAGAAATTAACGGAGAGAGAGAATAAGTGCATTGATCCTTGAAGACAGAGAGCAGTTATTTCGATCTCTTCCTCCCTTTCCTCAACAAATGTTGAGTGTCTGGGTGGTAGGCTTTCTGTCTGGCTCTGAAGTTACCAAGAAAGTAAACAGGGTTGTATATCTCCCAAGTCTCACCTCCAGGAGGACACACACTGTAGGCACATTGTAACAATGAAACAAAAATGGAAGGTTCTGAGGATGAATCACTGTAGGGCATATTAAGGTCTGGGTCTGTGGGATTAATATGGTTAAGGAGAATTCCCTAAGGAAATCACATGTTAACAGAGACATGAAGATGGGAGGGTGTTACTGAGGTAGTCAGCTCTGGAGCAGGGCAGAGGACTGTGAACATGGTCACAGTGCTTGAGAGACTTGTGAACCTGACATCGTTTTAAGGGCTCATCTTGCTCCATTCAATAAGTTGCTTTTTTTCTGCTGCTAAACTTACCCAATGACAAGAAATCTTTCATGGATTTATGGACATGGAGTTAATGTACCATAAAATTCACTCCATTGAAAGTGCACAGTTTTGTTACATTGTCATGCGGTATGCATGCACAAATATGTAGCAACAAATTCCATCATTAGCTACAACTATAAAGCACCAATAAAAATGCAGAAAAATGAACTGCACAGTTTTTGTTTGAACAAAACAGTGCTGTGTAGCCATCACCACAACTTAACTGTGGAACATTCTCACAGCTCCAGAAAGAAACATGTGCACATCAGCACCCACTCCTCCGTCCTGCTCCCACCCGTTACCTTGCCCCCAGCCACAGGAATCTATTTTCTCTTATCGATTTGTTTCTTCTTGGCATTTCACATAATGGAATCATAAAATATGTGATCTTTAATGACTACGTTCTTTCACTTAGCATGATGTTTTCAAGGTTCACTCATAACGCAACATTTTTTTTTATTATTATTATTTTATTTTTTTTATCGTTGGTCGTTCAAAACATTACATAGTTCTTAATACATCATATTTCACAGTTTGATTCAAGTGGGTTATGAACTCCCAATTTTACCCCGTATACAGATTGCTGTATCACATCA